GTAGTACATGCTGAGGGGACCCCAGGCCTATTAAAGAGGTAGGGGCCCTTTGTGCTGGCCACACGGCAGGCCATTGTTCTAATGCAAGTACATGTCCAAGCCAGTATCTTCTATTAAGCCTTCAAAATATTTTCTATTAATATTTACAGAACAAAATTTAGATCAGCTTTTTCCAGTATAAGACCAATTGTTCCCTTAGGTGGGGGGACCCCAAATTCCTGTAGGAATTGGGATAAGTTTGTTACCTCTGACAAGAGTGACTGCAAGCTGTAGGAAGATCTAGTTCTGCACTTTGTAATTCAACAGGCACATCAGCAAAAAACTCCTCATAAAGATCATGTTGTTGCTGTAACGGAATTAAAACTGAATGAACTAGGTTCCAAGTTGTGAATGTCTCAGGGGAAATGATTTTTTTTTTAAACTGTATGCCTTTTAAAGATTTCTTCCAACTCTTTCCCAATTGTCAATATCTATAGTGCCTGTCTGAGGAAACCATGGGTTATATTTGATTACGTCTTATAACATTTTTGTTAGGTCTTTTGTGGGCACACGAGCCCTTGAGTGTTTAAGCAGACCTTGGCCCATTTTACTCCCAGACGAAATGGCTTGTTCATGGCGGGAAGACTCACCCCTATTCCTTGCAGAATGCTTCTCTTCTCCCAGTTCTCCAGGCGTCCCTGGCGAACTCTTCATCCTGTGGAGGCCTTTTCTGTCTCCCACACTTTCCACTCTAGGTAGACTTACTCACTTGGAATAAAAATTTTCCAGTCCAAGGATTATAAGTCCCTGTTCCAGTCGCCAATATTGGGTTAATAATTCTTAGTTATTGCTGGCTGATGAGGCCTGAAATCTCCCAAATGAGTGGACAGGGAAGGCTTAAATAAATGAGACAATTGAAATGATTTTAGGGCTCCAGGAGGGTCTAACTCTCTTACAAAATTTAAGATTCTCTGGGTTAAGACCAAGACTTCCCTGGGCTGCCCATATTTATTTATTTATTTTGGTCTTTTTGAGACAGGGTCTTACTATGCAACTCAGGCAGGCCTAGAGCTCACTCTGTAGCCCAGGTTGGTCTTGAGCTTGCAACGATCCTCCTGCCTCAGCCTCCCGAGTGCTGGGATTACAGGCCTGTGCCACCAGGCCAGGCCCATATGTATTAAGGAGGCAGATATTGAAGAAAATGCAGGAATCTGGCCAGGACTTGGGAAACCCTTTACGGAATTCTCTCCAAGTAATACTTATGTTAATTTAGGAGAACTAAGTTAACTCCAGGAAGGCCTGCACTGCAGGAGTGAGATGCCTGCAGTTGCAGTCTCCTTTTAGTTAATTGGGGTTAGAGCCAAAAGTCCTCAGTTGGTGGCCTTGTCTTGTCCTTTGAGGCCTTATGGCTTCACCCACCATTACAGGCCTCATTAGGGACCAGGGACTCCCAAGTGAACATGGAAAGCCAACTGGTTAATTTAAGCCCTGCTCAGAGCTCCTTCACGGTGGTCTCCATCAAAGTACCATTGCATACTGTGCGTGTCTTATTTTGGGCACCTCAATCCGGTTTTCAGTCTTTGTGCAAAGCTCTCAGAAGAAAAACTCTTGGAAATAGGGGTGAGGGGCTGTGTCGGGGGCCCTCTGGCTCCAGGCCTGGCTTTGGAGCCTGCAGCTATGCCCTCTCCCGGGCAGGCACTGCACTAGGCGGCCAGCACTGGGAGCTCAGGGCTGCATCTGGGCCCTGCCCGAAGTGGCTTGATGCCAAGCCCTGATGAGGAGAAGTGGAATCAGGCTGGTAAACCCGAGAACCCCAGGAACCCCATCTGGGCAGAGGTGGAGACTGGTTGGAGACCACGTGCCCTTCTGTGGTCAGGGAGCAGCGTGGTTGCCCTAGGACGGAATGATCCTGGGGACAAGAGGTCCCCTCTTCCCAAGCCAGGCAGGGTGTGTGTGTGTGTGTGTGTGTGTGTGTGTGTGTGTGTAGGGGTGTTTCCTATGCGTAGGAACAGAGGGCCTTTAACCCCTGAATCTTGGAAAGCACTCAGCCACTGAGCTACAACCCCAGCCTCTGAACCACTGAATCTTAGGGTTTTCCAGAGACGTGGTTCTGCAGAAAAATCTCAGGAATTCTAGTTTTCTGCCCCATATGTTGAATGGTTTTTGCTTTAGATTATTGTTATTATTATTATTATTATTATTATTATTATTATTATTATTATTTT